ATAAAAATTCCTTGTTCAAACTCCAGGCCAGGTTTGTGTGTTTCTGTTTGGCAGTTAGATGTTATTGGATCATGATTGTATGTAGCTCTCTTATGCTATTTACTTGATATATGTATGTCAGATACGTCGTGGAAAGAATGGATGATGACCTCTGGGCTAAGGTCCTTGATCCTGAAAATGAATATAAAAGGCAACTAATTGATCAAGTTGTATCTACTGCCTTGCCTGAAAGCAAGAGTCCTGAGCAAGTTTCGGCAACTGTTAAAGCATTTATGACTGCAGACCTTCCACACGAGTTGATTGAACTTCTTGAAAAGATAGTGCTGCAAAATTCTGCTTTTAGTGGGAACTTCAATCTGCAGAATCTGTTGATTCTGACTGCCATCAAAGCTGATCCATCCAGAGTCATGGACTATATCAATAGATTAGACAACTTTGATGGACCTGCAGTTGGAGTAATGGCTGTAGAAGCTCAATTGTATGAAGAAGCATTTGCAATCTTCAAGAAGTTCAATTTGAATGTTGATGCTGTGAATGTCCTGTTGGATAACATTCAGAGCATTGACCGAGCTGTAGAGTTTGCATTCCGGGTTGAAGAAGATGCTGTTTGGAGCCAGGTGGCCAAGGCTCAATTGCGAGAGGGATTAGTGAGTGATGCCATTGAATCATTCATCCGTGCAGATGATGCCACCCACTTTTTGGATGTCATACGTGCTTCTGAGGATGCAGATGTATATCATGACTTGGTAAGGTACCTTCTGATGGTTAGGCAGAAGACCAAGGAGCCGAAGGTTGACAGTGAACTTATTTATGCATATGCTAAGATTGATCGGCTTGGTGATATTGAAGAATTCATTCTTATGCCAAATGTTGCCAATCTCCAAAATGTTGGGGATCGCTTGTTTGATGAGGCCCTATACGAAGCAGCCAAGATCATATTTGCATTCATTTCTAACTGGGGTAAACTAGCATGCACTCTTGTGAAGCTAAATCAGTTTCAAGGTGCCGTTGATGCAGCTCGGAAAGCTAACAGCTCAAAAACTTGGAAGTTTGTTTGCTTTGCATGCGTTGATGCTGAGGAATTCCGCTTAGCTCAGATTTGTGGACTTAACATCATCATTCAGGTAGCATTTACTATTTTCTATGTATGTTAATTTTGCATGTCTTCCCGAAGTTTCATCTGCTGCTTTTGTTTATTAACATGTTTCCCCAAATGGGAGGTGTATTCTTTGAATAAGTTTTTGTTAAGTTGTAAGCACTGCAGATTGTAAGCACCATAGGGCACAATTAATTGGTTGGTCAATTATATTTTTGATTATTCCTTACTCGTGCATGTTTTATTTTTAGGTGGATGATTTGGAAGAGGTCTGTGAGTATTACCAGAACAGGGGATGCTTTAATGAGCTCATTAGTCTCATGGAGAGCGGGCTAGGGTTGGAGCGTGCACATATGGGCATCTTTACGGAATTAGGAGTTTTATATGCAAGATACCGTCCTGAGAAGCTTATGGAACACATTAAACTGTTCTCTACCCGTCTCAACATTCCCAAGCTTATACGAGCTTGCGATGAACAGCAGCACTGGAAAGAATTAACATACTTATATATCCAATATGATGAGTTTGATAATGCTGCAACTACCATAATGAACCACTCCCCAGAAGCGTGGGACCACATGCAATTCAAGGATGTTATTGTCAAAGTTGCAAGTGTTGAACTCTACTATAGGGCTGTGCACTTCTACTTAGAAGAACATGCTGATGTTATTAATGATGTTCTTAATGTGATTGCACTTCGTGTCGACCACACCAGAGTGGTGGATATAATGAGAAAGGTTTGCTTCTCTCTCATGATGTTATTTATACTGGTCTCTGCTGCCAAATTTCTCTTCTGGCAGGGTTTGGAAAGAGTTATTTTGTGCTTACATTTTCAATCCCTTTGAGTTTCAGGCTGGTCACATCCGTCTCATAAAGCCGTACATGATTGCAGTTCAGAGCAACAATGTAACTGCTGTAAATGAAGCTCTAAATGAAATATACATAGAGGAGGAAGACTATGATAGGCTTCGTGAATCAATAGATTTGCACGACAGCTTTGATCAGATCGGCCTTGCTCAAAAGGTGAGGTTGAAGTTTCTCATACATGGGAAGTCTTTGATTGAGGCTTGTACTTATTATTTGTCATTGATGCAAATGAGCAGCTTGAGAAACATGAGCTTCTGGAGATGAGACGTGTTGCTGCATACATTTACAAGAAAGCGGGTAGATGGAAGCAATCCATTGCACTGTCAAAGAAAGACAACCATTACAAAGATTGCATGGAGACATGCTCGCAGTCTGGTGATCATGAACTTTCGGAGGAACTGCTTATCTATTTCATTAAGCAGGTCTGTGTTCTGTCTATGCACTAGTTAAGGAGTGCTCATGTATACCAAATAAAGCAAGGATTTATCTGCTTAAACATACACATTTATTCTTTCCCTCTTCCCACCTCATGAACTAAAGAAGGCGGTTCAGTCCATGCTTCTTTCCCTTTCTCTTTGTGAAGTATTGTTTTTTATGTGGTTTTGTAATCATATTCTTCTGTAATGTATATGCAGGGAAAGAAAGAGTGTTTTGCTGCATGCCTATTTGTTTGTTATGATATGATCCGGCCAGATGTTGCTCTCGAGCTTGCGTGGATGAACAATATAATTGATTTTGCCTTACCATACCTTCTGCAGGTAATGCTTTTATTGGTGTTGTCCTTTGTCCATTAGTTACCTTTAATTGTTCCTCACTTACCCAACCTTCTCTTTCTCTCTAGTTTATTCGAGAGTACACAGGAAAGGTTGATGAACTTATTAAAGACAAAATCGAAGCTCAAAATGAGGTGAAAGCCAAAGAGAAAGAGGAGAAGGAATTGGTTGCTCAGCAGGTATTTCTGTTTTGCTTTATCCTTGTGTCATTAAGAGCCTTTCTTTTAAATTTTCTGTCGTCAAGAAATGTATAATTCTTGAAAGATGATTGTTTTTTTGGATCTGCAGAATATGTATGCTCAGTTGCTGCCTGCCTTGCCTGCACCACCGGGAATGGGAGGTTATGCTCCACCACCAATGCCGCCAATGGGAGGGATGGGGATGCCGCCAATGCCACCATTTGGAATGCCGCAAATGGGCCCCTCTTACTAAATTTTGACGTGGATTGAGGTTTTATGAGCGCTCTAACAACTCCTACTGGTTGAAACTAGTATGTCGGGAACTTCTGTCTGGCTGAAGGCAATTCGTTTTCAATGAAGGGTTGAGCCAGTACAACATCTTTGTTTGCTGCGGGTTTATGGTGACGTTTATAGAAATTCTTTTTAATTTACAGTATCAAATTCTTTTTTGCTTGGCTGTTTGAGAGATGTAGGATGGAAACACTCTTACTACCTGTATAGGAAATTTTGTTGAACTTGTTCTTGTTAGTGTCAAGAAACTTTTCATTGGTCTATTTTTTGTACTAACATTTCCCACTTGGTGAGTAAGACGTTTCTTTCCATTGCTCTTCAAGATTGTCCTCCCGACCCCCGGGGCCCCTTAAATCTTAAGGGCACAAGCAAAAGTATTTAGTATATAGATATGTAGGGAAGGATTCGTGACACTACTTTTTTTTTTAAATATTTTTTATACACCTTTTTGCGGGGCCTTTGTAATATATTTCAATGATCCGAAAAATCTATCTTTTAGGTCTTGCCTCAAACAAGGACGGATCCACATAGGGACCAGGGAGGTCCTAGGACCCGTCGGCAATCCTAAATCGTTGCTATAAATTTTCCGAGGACCCCTCGTACTCAATCATGAGGTCTGTGTAGGTTGCAGTGGCTGTCTTCTTCTTGGAGAAGATGACCGCGCACGGGGAAGAAAGAAATAGGGACCCTTCCTGCCTCTCTCCTCCTTGCTTCTGCCATGGTCTCATTCATCGGTGCCACCCACTTCTCCTCCAACCTTTCTGTGTCGTCTGGTGAGGGCAGTACATAAGCCCAAACTTTCCCAAATTATTTCAACCATCTTAGTAATTTTTCTTATGGGTGAAGTTTCTTTCATAAGGTTAGTAAGATGGATATGATCTGTCATGGGTTGGTGAAATTTGGTGGTGGAGCTACCATGGCTTCGGGAGAATGGGGAGGGAGGCGGTTAGTGGAGGTATGGCAGCTTTATTTTTAGTGAGAGAGAAGGTGAATGTTTGGAAACTAGTAAAAGAGAAAAATGGTGTGTTTGGTTAGAAAGATAGTGGGAGTTTGGGGAGAGTTTTATTTGACCGGTGTTTTAATTTGCTATCCACACACCCCTTTTTACTTCATACACACCCTCTTAATTTGCGGCCGTCAGATCAACTGAATTAAAAAAGATCAAATGACAGAAATAAATAAAGGGTGTGTGAGACGCAAAAAGGGGTGTGTGAATAGCACACCCCTTTAAATTTAGTGGTTCATATTAGATAATCAATAACTTAGGTACTCCCTAGTAACTTATGAAACCTCGTAATGGACGCTTGAATTATGATTTTATAATTTGTAATATTGTTTTGCATATGTTTTTTAAATGAAATGTATTATATTAAAATTTTCAATGTTATTTTTGTCTATAAATTTTTTGACCTTTATAATTGGGACCCTCCGAGTTTAAAATCCTGGATCCGCCACTGGCCTCAAAGATCATGGGTATGTTTTTGGGTTCCAAAAGCACCCTAAGTGCTTTTCTAAGATTCACTTGCATTTTTACTGATGATGGGTTCCAAAAATATTTTCACAAAAAACACTTTCGGCTATTCTAAAAACACTCCCAAACGAGCCTTTAGTTCACATTAAACTTGAGAAGTTTGATGTTTCGATTCTGAGAGTTCGATCTTTAATTATAACTAGCTCATTGTGTGACTAAAAACGTTTTGGGCTTTGTGATTTGGGCCTTTTTGTTGTTATTTTGAATCGCCGTCTTTGAGAGTGTTACTGCTCACTCTCCTACTGGTATAAAAACCCCAATAACCCTCAACCCTCATCCCGTTCCCTTTCTCTCTCTACACGCTCCTATCCGATCTCTCTCTTTCTCTCTCTACAATCTTCTACCACTCCTACTTCCTGCTTTCTTTCTCTACAAGATGTCGAGTGCCGCCGATCCCGAGCACAGAGAAGACGAGGAAGCCCCACTCGCCGGCGACGACGAGGACACCGGAGCTCAGGTCGCTCCGATCGTCCGGCTCGAGGAGGTCGCCGTCACCACCGGCGAAGAAGAGGAGGACGCCATCCTCGATCTGTAAGTATCTCTCCCCCGATTTATTTTTCGTCCGATTCTAGGGTTTTTCGCTTTTTTCACCGATCTGCAAGAACATAGCTAGGGTTTGATTGGTTCGATTAGCGTACTCAACACTGTTAAATCCTTATTAATCTCTCTGCTGTGTTTGTGTAATTAGGAAGGCGAAGCTTTACCGATTTGATAAAGACGGTAACCAGTGGAAAGAGCGAGGTGCTGGCACTGTCAAGTTTCTCAAGCACAAAAAGACGGGCAAGGTCCGCCTTGTCATGCGCCAGTCCAAAACCCTAAAGATCTGCGCCAATCATCTCGGTTAGTCTCCCACAGTCCATGTGTTCCTGAACGTACAATTTTTATTATTTGTTAAGATTTTGTGGGTTTAGGGTTTTGAATTTATTTTGCTTGTGCTCTATGGTATTTTTAAAGTTCTACCGAAGATGACGGTCCAGGAGCACGCCGGCAATGAGAAGTCTTGTGTTTGGCACGCGACTGATTTTGCTGACGGGAAATTGAAGGAGGAGCTTTTCTGCATTAGATTCGCCTCAATTGAAAGTGAGTTTATTAGTTTGATCGACTTGATTTTTTCGTAAATAATTTTATTGAGCTTGCTTGCTGATAGATGCTAGTTTACCCGATAGATTCTGTTACTTTTATGCATGTGTGTATATATATATATATGTTATGTATTTGTATATATCTAAGTCTGTTCTATGCTTTCATATGCAATCTAAGTCTGTTTCTGTGCTAGTATATTTGACATTTTGAACCCATGAAGTACCCAAATTTAATAACTTTTCATTCTATACCTTTGTTGGAGTTTAATAAGTATATTGTTTAAAGAGAGTTGTAATTGACATTACAATTTAATTTAAACTTGTTTGTGATGACTGGTGTGAATAAAATCAACCACATATCTGTGTGTCTTCGTGATATATGTTATTTGATGATGTACGTTGTGTTGTTTATTTTATGCATAAGCTGTTCCTAGAGAGTGTGATTCCCTCCAGTAAGTAACTGGTCTGCAACCAACATTTTAACTTTGAAAAGATGTACTAGGTGGACATCTGTATATGTTACAACATGTCTTGTTCTTTTTATTGGAGGTTAAAAATTTATGCCTAACCCTTTGTAGTTTGTATGGAATTTGTTTGTTTTGTTTTTCTCTTAGGTGAGTAATTTTCTGATTGGGTTAATCATGTTTGTGCTATGGTCACGTTGCTGAAGTCAACATGTTCGAAATCTGTTCTGCTTTTTCTGTTGAAAGTAAAGGGAATGGTAGCACTTACTAAGATTAAAACCTATAGAGACATGGTGTATTAAGAATTTATTACCCCTTTGCTTATAGAGCGTAAATTTTGACCTTTTCCAATCTTTACCTGCATGTTGGAACTTTTCTAAGAATTTATACCTTTTTATCTTCTTGGCATTAATGTTGCCTGCAAGTGCTAAATGTGTTTATAGCATATCTTGGTACAAGATCCCGAGCATCATCATGAAAGTTGCTTATTGATGTTTGGTTGTTTGTTGGCTGTATCAGATAACAAATTGTTCATGGAGAAGTTTCAAGAAGTTGCCGAATCCCAGAGTCCAGAAGAAGAAAGCAAAGAAGCTACTGAAGCTGCTGGGCTCCTCGATAAATTGAGTGTTGGGGAGAAGTCTGAGGCAGAGGCACCTGCTGCAACCAAGAGTGACAGAGTAAAAGAAGCAGAAGCACCTGCTGAGGAGAAAGCAGAAGAAAAGGCACCAGATGTCAAGGGGAAGAAGAAAGATGATTAAGAGTGAAGGTTGATGGTATTTTGCAATGGGTCTGGTTTGGTCTACCTGGTGTCGTTGTCGTCGTCAAAAGTCGGGTTAGAAACTTAGACTTTCAGGACATGTTTGAAGGTTGAAGGGTTGTGTGTTATTCTCAGTACCGTTTTGTTGTAACAGAGTTTCCCCCATCCTATTTGATTACTTGGGAGTAAGTTACAGGTCCGTGAAAATTACTTGATATAAGCCGAGGACCGTTTGTTTGGATATAATTCCTTGATTTGGTTTTAGGGTCTTTTGAGTTTTATTTATGGGCAAGTATGTGTGGGGCTCCATTGGAATCACATTGTGAGTCAGAAGCATTTCAGGCAGTCTCTTTTGGTACACGGTTGCTCGTTTGAATTTAGTTTCTTTTGCGTGGGAGTAAAGGAGCGTGCGAAAATCACTCCGCAATCTTGTTTAAGTTAAAGGTAAAAGATGTACAACTACTAATTACGATGAAAACTTATCCAGTCCAATTGTTTGGTGGATTAGTTGGAGTTTGGTAAGTCTTGTTACGAGATTTGAAAGTGGAACTGCAGGGTGGCTCCTAAGTTCCTCAGTTTGAGGACCCGTGGGGCAATTTTTTAGATGAACTCTAAGATTATTCTTACGTCAGTTAAGCTATCAATTTAAATAATTCATGTCGTACAGAAATAAAATACTAATTGATAAACAAAAGGATAGAAATATAAGAAGAGGGAAGAAGGTTTCACATCACGTCATATGGATATATAATAAAATAATAAATGCCTCATCTATTTTACCTCATTTTTTGGGAAGAGTACACGTTTTAACAAGGCAAATGGCCACATCAACTATGAAAGTACAAATTTGTTTCAAGAAATCGGCTAATCCTTTGGAGATGATCTAATAATGCTGCAACTTCAATTTCATAAGTGCAGTTTCCAAATCCCTTGCTTCCTGCAGTTTCATAAGTGCAATTTTATATGGTAAAAGGGCTACGAAATTTCAAATGTGAATGGTAAGTGCAAAACTAGTAGGCATAGCCTTAGAAGTTAAAGTTTCACTAATCTCATGAGAAAAGCTTGCAATTTTTGTTACAGTCCTTACGAATTTAAGCAATTTCACAGCTCTTAAATTATTAATTGTAACTGCATATCCTTTCTTTTTTAATTTTTTTTCCTTCTAATGGCAATAAATTTTCAGATATTTCAAAGATTAGGGAATTAAAGGATGTCCCGTGTATTAATGGACGTTTAGGAAATGACTTGGGGATTAATCCAAAAGAATAAAAATGAAATGGCTTGGGAACCAAGGTATATTACGAAAATATTTACTGTCAATTACAATTAATTTATAACGGTCAAGAAAAAACAAATAAATACGATTCAATTTAACAATCTTATTACGTTATACATTAAGTATTGATACATATACAAATTATTTCTTTCTACCATACCAAAAATCATATTAATATTTAAAATAACAAAATTATTTTCTTCTCCTTTAGTTTAGCACTCACTGAATTACCATACATAACCCCAAATGAGTCTCTTCCCCCTTCCCCAAGAAACCCACCAACTTATTTCACCTCCAAAACAAACCTGTCTATAAATCCTTCTTACTCTTCTTCCTCCTCCCAACAGCCACAAAGATCCAATCCTTTCTCCCATTTTTGTACGATCAACACTTTATTTGATCAACAAAACACAGAACCTGAATCCCAAACCCCACTTTCGAGCTCTCCAATTTCCGCCATGGCCACCAGCATTGACTCCCTAGACTCTTCAAAACCTGCCAACAACTGCATCGGTTGCCCTCCCCAAAACAGTGCTGCCACCATCCACGACTCCTCCCACCCTCCCTCCGCCATCGCCTCAGCTGACTCCACTCTCGGCCGCCACTTAGCACGCCGCCTGGTGGAGATCGGGGTGGGGGACGTGTTCTCTGTCCCCGGGGATTTTAACCTAACCCTACTAGACCATCTCATTGCTGAACCGGGGCTCACCAACATCGGCTGCTGCAATGAACTCAATGCCGGTTACGCCGCTGATGGGTACGCCCGGGCCCGTGGCGTCGGGGCGTGCGTTGTCACGTTTACTGTGGGTGGGCTTAGTGTTCTCAATGCCATTGCTGGAGCGTACAGTGAGAACCTTCCTGTTATTTGTGTTGTTGGAGGGCCTAACACAAATGATTATGGCACGAACAGAATTCTTCACCACACCATTGGCTTGCCGGATTTCAGCCAAGAACTCAGATGCTTCCAGACTGTCACTTGCTATCAAGTAAACCCGCAACTGTTTGATTTGCCCATTTTCGTTTTAAACGATGTGATATTTTAAACTACTCTAATTTATGAGGAAGACATTCAAACTTTTCGGTGTGACGAGAGGGCATATACTGCCTCGAGTCTTGACCAACTGATCCAACCCACATCTATATTTGGCTTGCATATTTATTTCTTGAATCTAACGAAATTGATTTTTCACGGGGATTTTTTTCCTTATTTAACGAAAATTTTTATAGAATGACCAAATTAATTGATGGTGGACAAACTCAGAACCAATTCTAGCGATTTTAAATCTCATTAAGCAAATGAAGAGTTATGACAATTTCACATACTATTTTTAGGCTAAGCCTATAAAATATTTGTGCTTTGAACTATTTTGGAATTGGATTTATTATAGTATAATATTGTTGTGTTATTTTATTTTTTTGGGAAAATTTGGACTTGGGTTATTTTTCTAATGGTATTAAGTATTAATTCTTGTTTATTTTATTTGCTGTGGCAGGCTGTGGTGAACAACTTGGACGATGCACATGAACAGATTGACACAGCCATTTCTACCGCTCTCAAAGAAAGCAAGCCTGTATACATTAGCATCAACTGCAACTTGCCTGCCATTCCACATCCAACTTTTAGCAGAGAGCCCATTAAATTTTGCATCTCACCTAGGTAACTTATTTGTTTATTGAGCTTCATGGTTTTTATGAGTTCGGTTGCCGTATATCAAACATGTTATGCTGTAGACTGTCAATTATGTATATCAGACATGTTTGATTGACAGTCTGACAACATAAATTTTTTCTCTTTCTTTATACTTTGAGATGTAGTTTTATGACAATTTGATTATTTCATGGTACAGAATGACCAACAAGATGGGGCTAGACGCCGCTGTGGAGGCAGCAGCTGCCTTCTTGAAGAAGGCAGTGAAGCCAGTTGTGGTTGGCGGACCCAAGCTCCGAGTGGCAAAGGCTCATGAAGCCTTTGTTGAATTTGCAGATGCCAGTGGCTATGCTGTTTCTATGATGCCATCAGCCAAAGGGCATTTCCCTGAAACACATCCTCGCTACATCGGGACATACTGGGGAGCAGTCGGCACTGCCTACTGCGGTGAGATTGTGGAGTCTGCTGATGCATACGTGTTCGCCGGTCCAATCTTCAATGACTACAGCTCGGTTGGCTACTCTCTCCTTCTCAAAAAGGAGAAGGCAATCATTGTGAAGCCCGATAGCGTGGTGGTTGGCAATGGCCCTTCTTTCGGTTGTGTCCTAATGAAGGACTTTCTTCAGGCACTTGCGAAGAGGGTCACCAAAAACACAACCGCTTACGAAAACTACGCCAGAATCTACGTCTCAAATGGCCAGCCTCCCAAATGTCAGCCTAATGAGCCTCTAAGAGTGAACATTCTGTTCCAGCACATTCAGAAAATGCTTTCAGCTGACACCGCAGTTATTGCTGAGACCGGTGATTCTTGGTTCAACTGCCTGAAACTGAAACTGCCGGAAGGATGTGGGTGAGCATGCAACAAAAACCCTATATATGTGATTTGAGGATTTTTATTTTCTGTCTCATTAGAGAGAAAAAGTTGGTGTTGTAGGTATGAGTTCCAGATGCAGTATGGCTCAATCGGGTGGTCTGTTGGTGCAACTCTTGGCTATGCAGAGTCTGTTCCAAAGAAGCGCATCATTGCTTGCATCGGTGATGGGAGCTTCCAGGTTCAAATGCTTCAACCGGCGTTGATTAAACTTGATATTTTAGAGAAAAGTTGTTGATTCGTCTCAATATGTAAAAATTTTCCTGGATGGCAGGTGACTGCACAAGATGTGTCAACGATGATCCGATGCAATCAAAAAAGCATCATCTTCCTCATAAACAATGGAGGATACACCATAGAAGTTGAAATCCATGATGGGCCTTACAATGTGATCAAGAACTGGAACTACACCGGTTTGGTGGATGCAATCCATAACGGTGAAGGAAAATGCTGGACAACAAAGGTTTGTGATCGATATAAAAGCACGGGTGAATAAGGCAGCTGCTATTCTCACTCTCAGATTAGGAGTGGATGACAAACTGAGAGCGCGAATAGCATTGGACTTGCTTTGTTAGACTATGTTGAGCTGGAGAAGTAATTCTGACCTAATGTATGTGTTTTTTCCTTTCTTTTTCGGTCTCAGGTTCGTACCGAGGAGGAGCTAACGGAAGCGATTGCAACAGCAACTGGGGAAAAGAAAGACTGCTTGTGCTTCGTTGAAGTGATTGTTCACAAGGATGACACAAGCAAAGAGCTGCTTGAATGGGGATCCAGGGTCTCTTCTGCCAATAGCCGCCTGCCAAATCCTCAATAAAAAAGCCATTCTTTAGAATGATCACAAAAAATCCAAATTAGAATAAGATCTTAGTACTTTAGTAGATTGAATTATTTTATTTAAATTAGACTAAGAGCAAAATTATATCCTAGAATTGTGTTTCTAGATTAGTTTCTACTCGTGAAGGAATATCAAAATTTATGAATTTTCTCATTTACTTGGAATTATTTCTGCTTCACTCAAATCATTTCCTGTGTTTTGGAACCTTTATTTAATAAACGAGCTCAATTAGAGGGTGAACCTTGGCGCAACGAAAAAATTGTTCTTTTGTGACAGAAAGGTCATGCTTCGAGTCGTGGAAACAACCTATTTGCAAAGTAAGAGTAAGACTACGTTGGCTTGGGGTCGTCCTTTTTAATAAACGAGATCAATTGCCATGGACCAAAGGGGAAAAAATTAAGTTCCATATTATTATCAAACACAAATATTGGTGTGCTAAACATTTGTAGGGCACAATTCCAAGTTTGTACACAGTGCCAAGTTTTTTTAGTAGTGTTAATTATGTTTATAAATTGCAGGATACATAGCTAGATTTAAGCCGTGAGTTTGTTGTACACCTTGAAATGTGTTGCTTTCGTGACACCAAAAGCTTGTTGTAATGTGGTCAACCCAATTAACATACCAATCCATTAACCGACCTGGATATTATTAATATGCCTAAAAAACAGCCTGTATGATTGATCTGTTCTTATTTTTGTTTATTTTATGTGGGCAGTCATAGCAGGGTAAAAGACTTAGGTGTCATCGAGTATATACGAGTCGCACTAATGGAACATGTGATGAGTGCTATAAGATAATGAAGAAAACTTGAATTAGACTTCCTAATTAGGTGATTATTTGCTCAGTTGATTTCAACAAGCGTATTTACATGTTATTGATTATCGACATATCGTTCATATTATTGATAGTATCAATACTTCGGTTACATAGTCATCATATATGCTCATGTCGACAAGTTTGTAACCCTAAATTTTTCTCCACTAGTTGCATGCAAGGATCTCCTCGTTGAGGGAAGACTGAGCTATGACTCTGTACAAGCTATTGCTAGAACTGTTTAAGTAGGGGAGTCAAATTTGATTTTTCTGTTTCCCTTAATTTGGGGCATGTATGTCCGCCAAATAAATTCTCCACCTACTGACTACTACCTAGTTTCTCAGTCTCCTCTACCATCTTTGACCAATAAAAATCTCCTCTACCTTCGCTCTTCTGCTTAAAAGCATTTTACATGGCATGAATTCATCGTCATCGTATTGCTTGTACTAATAATACAATATAATGTCATGTAGATAGAAACTTACACCTATCATTGTGTTATTGAAAAAGAACGCCATGTAAAGTCATTCTCCACATCAATACACTTGTTCGGATTTGAGCCTTGAACAAGTTGTTTATCTATGACCCCCCTAATAAGGTTCCCTTACCTGTAGGGTACTTTGATCAAGGGCAATATAGGGTATGGGGTCCCCTAGAAATTAAAGTTGTATTTGAAATGGACATGCGCTAAGATCAGTGAGAAGAAGAATATATTATAAACCCTTTTAAAAGATTTAAAGATTATGCCCATGCCAAGTAATTACACCTCAAGTCTCTAGTAGGTGTCAACCTTAGTGATTTACTGTTCATCACCATGATAATACAGTTGTGGCAATGAACAAAATTTGCCACCTAAGTTAGACGCGAATTGTGCTAGTTGGTTAGAACAATATGTTCGTTTTTTATATTATAAATTAGAATAATTTAAACTATGGTCTTGTCATAAACCATGATGTCCAAATAAATATTATTATATTACTATAATATAAATGCGAGGTGTTCTCATGTGGCGAATGTATTACCAGATAATTGCATGATGTAAATAGCCTCTCAATAGGAATGATACAGCCAGTCACCACTCATATACCACAACTATCCTGCAAGATTTGTCATGCCACGAAGAATTTCCTGATAAATGTGACCCTCAAACAGAAATATGACACCCCCACTCCATTTTATTTTTACCTCTTTTTTTTTTTTTTTTTTCCTCTTCAGGAAGGACATGAAAAATAAAGCAAGAAATAGGGGAAGATCTGAACCTGGTAGGCTGTAAATATCAAGGCTTTTACTTTTTCTTTAATTTTCGACTGTCAGCATATATCCTTCTCTGTTGCTCTCACTTCTCCTTCATTTTTTTTTTTTTTTGGCTTTCGGTTTGCTTCACAAGCAAAGAATAGACAATTGGCATTCAAATTTGTAATAATCTCACGAAGGATTATTATATCAATCGGCATGTCAACCGACCTATATATATGCTAGTTAAGATTTACCTAATGATTTCAACATCCCAGCCTGAGGCTACCTGGACAACAAACACTTGTCCGAGAAGTTGGTTAATGAGCATTAAGTTGTTAGTTAGCAATCAATCATGTACCGTTCGCTATTCGGGCTGAAGCTTCACAAATCTACAGGTAAAATATGATGGAAATGACATTTTTCATGTAAACCATAAGACAGAATATCTCACGTATCCAATACATTGTTTTAGTGACGTCTCTTCCATTTATGATAAGCAGAAACTAAGAGGAGAGAGAATAAAAGAAAAATAATCATAACACTCACTTGTCATTGATAGGAGCCCTAACCATATTACTTATCGGGCACTATGGTATCCTAGTCTTAAGAGCAGTTAATCGAGGCCATATGCATTCGATTCTTCTCACTCTTATATCGATTATATATATATATATATAAATGAAAATAAAAATTACTCTGTATTCGAGGTTATGTGCCGAATATCGCTTGTATGAAAAAAGAAAAGAAAAACAAAACTAATGTTAATGTACAATTGTTGCCCTAATAAACTAGTCACTAGAGTCTAGAGCATCAGGCGTCAGGTTTACGTGAACCCACCAAACCTTACGTCAAAAGTAATACCAGATAACATAAAAAGGAACGAGCCAGCAACTCATTTGCCACATCTTCCTATCTCCTTCCACTGAAAGCACAGCAGACTAGGAGGATGCCAGAAGAAGCTGAAAGCTCCGAGATCGTCGTCTTTCTCACGAAAGAACTCGAAGCCTCTCTCGAAAAGAACGGCTCGTTGGAGAGAGAAAACCATGAGTTGAGGCAAGAAGTTGGTCGTCTCAAAGCTCAAATAACTTCCCTCAAAGCACACAACAATGAGAGGAAATCTGTGCTCTGGAAGAAGTTTCAAAGCACATTGGAGCAGACTCCAGCGACAGAGAAACCGAATCCGAAAGTAGACTTCACAGAGTCAGAAGCCACAAAGGAAAGATCGGCAGCAAGATTGTTACCAACCAATGCACCACCACCAACGCCAAGGCCTCCCCCTCCTCCTACTTTGTTCAAGGAGGTAAAGGAAAACAAAGGGCCGTCAGCACCAGCACCGCCGCCTCCTCCTCCGCCCTCAAAAGCATTAATCGGGTCAAGAGGAGTGCGACGTGTTCCGGAAGTGATTGAGCTGTACCGTTCACTTACAAGGAAAGATGCACAAATGGAGAACAAGGCCAACCCTGCAGGAGTTCATGTTTTTGCACTTACTAAGAACATGATCGGAGAAATCGAAAACCGTTCATCTTATGTTTTAGCTGTAAGTTAATATTGCAAATGATTTCCGCACGCCTTTTTGCAAAAGGAGAAAACGTGTTTGCGGGAATCATTTCCCTATAGCAAACCCTATTCTTGTTATTCCATCACTCATACAGACAGAAATTTTTCTGATGCTATTTTCTACATTCATGGACAGATAAAGTCGGAGGTCGAAACGCAAGGAGAGTTCGTAAACTTTTTGATCAGTGAGGTCGAGTTTGCAAAATTTTCAAACATTGCAGATGTGGAAGCATTTGTGAACTGGCTGGATCGGCAGCTATCTTCTTTAGTCGATGAGAGAGCAGTGCTGAAGCACTTCCCGCAGTGGCCGGAACGAAAGGCGGACACGCTGCGAGAAGCCGCTTTCAGCTACAGAGACCTGAGGAATCTGAAAAACGAAGCCTCATCATTTGAGGACAACCTGAAGGAGCCATCAATCCTTGCTCTGAGAAGAATGGAAGCATTACAAGACAGGTAAGCATAGAGTACAATAGCTTATTACTATTCCATTGATATCGGAAAGTGCGGGTTAGTTGAGTTGATTGGAGCAGTAATTTAGAATAACACCTTGTTTAACGTCACAAATCCGGTTTTGCAGGTTGGAAAGAAGCGTGAGCAGCACAGAAAGAACAAGGGAGAGTGCCAGCAAGAGATACAGGGATTTTCAGATCCCATGGGAGTGGATGCTGGACACAGGGCTGATGGGTCAGGTAGGTAGAAAGCAATCACCAAATTAATTACTGTTTTACTGTTTACCATTATGGCCTCTGATAACTATGGCTTACCAATAGCTTTAATTTGGCAATCATTCGGATAATAATTTAGAGAAATATTAACAGGACACTGTCATAAGCGGGACTCTTCATGTGCTCTCCATCACCTCATGTTTTGGTACAATGTTTTATAATGTTGGTATAGAAATTGCTGTTAAATTGTGAGGTGACAAATAATCCCTAAAAAACCCACTTTAAAAGGGAAAAGGATCTGTGCCGTGATCGTGATCGTGATCATTCATCGTACATCGTGTGGTCAGAAATCATTTCAAAATTTTAAAATTTAAAATTAAATATAAATAGTATCTAACGAAAACTAATTGCACGATGTACGATGAATGATCATCATCGTGAGATCTCTAGAATCCCTAGGAAAAGGATCCGGCGGGGATCCTTTTCCCTTTAAAAGAGTCCCTAGCATTTTTCAATAATTTATGAAAGAGTGAATCATATGTTTACTGTTGACTTCCATTAACATGGTACTAAATTCGGATTAATTAGAGCTTAAGTGACTAAATATCTACCTTGTAGCTAAGCAATCCACATCTAGTTTCAACTTTCAATTGATTAAATATTGATGTACAAGCTAGAAGGTCATAATACAAAGAACACGAATTGACAACACTTCTCACTATGCATCACAAGTTGCAAGAAATGTTATTAGCACTCTAAAACAATCTATTTGTACTTTGAAACTGTTTCGAAGTGCTAACGACAATGGCTGAGGAGTGGATTTGAAGCTAGGGGATGGATTCACACACATTCTTTCGAAAGCCTCTTCATTTCACCAAAAACCATCGATTGATGTTAACTGCATATCTTGTACGCATAACTACTTGCAGATGAAACTGAGCTCACAAAGGCTAGCCAAGGAATACATGAAGAGGATTATTAGAGATGTGGAGTCCAGCGAATGTCCAAGAGAAGAAAGTCTCCTGCTTCAAGGAGTCCGTTTCGCTTTCCGGGTACACCAGGTAGTGAAGCTCTTCACAAACGCGGTTCCAAATTTCTAGCCCTACTTGTTAATTTGTTGAACCAGGTGCTCACACACCCAAAATTCAGTTTGCAGGTGGTTTTGATTCGGAGACGGTTCTCGAGTTCGAGGAACTAAAGAAGATACGCACGAATAGTAGACGAAATGGCACGATTTAGCTCGCTCTATATAGACTTGGACCCGGAAATTGATCGATGGGGTGTAAGCAGATTAGTAGTAGCAAAAAAATGTGTCTGTAAAATGGCCAACATTTTATTATACTGGTAAACTCCTAGATTGGTTTAATTTGAATATGGATTCGAAAGGTCTTCACTCAGGAAAATTCTCCGATTTGGAGGATGACGGAAGCGGAGGACGTCTTCCGTCGAACCACCACAGTCCTTAATCACATTGATGCATAATGAAACCGGTGGGTAAACAAGATCTGATTGATGCTACTTAATTCAACATGACTACAGATAATCAGAAAGAATATCACTAGACACACCAACTCTTTTACCAACTATTATCTCAACTCTCTCACATGACGCGAGTCCCATGAGAATTCGGAACCACATAGGATCCGCATCAAGTAAGATTGCTGAAATAAAAAATGAGAAAAAAAGGTGGTGCGTCTAGCATCATTTGATGAAAAGGAAGACATGAAGCGTAGAATTGCTCATTCATTACATACAGAATGTGGAAGAGAAGGAACAAGGCATTTGATACACCGCCTAGATCTGTATCAAATTCCTCTCCAGCAAGATTATACCAATTCTCTTGAGACTAAGAGTTCTGGGATCCAACAGGTGAACCCAATCACTCCTCCAATGACTCACGAGAATAGGACTCCCTGTATTTGAAGTCCCATACGCTCCTACTTGTGGAACCCTAATGCAGGGAGTTCAGCTCTCGTGAGTGGCCAATATTTATCATGAATCCTTCTACATAACACCCATAGGCCAATATTTATCGTCAACCCTCTTCATTAAATCAAAATCCAATACGTCTACTCAAAATTCGAAGTATCAGAGTCTCTCCAAATCCTAAGAAAATACTAGATTAAGCTAGTGGACCACGTCACTCATCTGACCATACTCATAAAAAGCAACGCTCCATATTTAGGTCTCAAAACATAGAAATTTTAGTGTAGAAAACCAAAACCCTACGTCCCAGACCAAAAAACCACCCTACCCATCCCCCTGATTGTCAGGCTAATACCTACTCCACTCTTTGATGCTACCCTCTCTCTTTGGCCTAGTCTGATTTTCGAACAAAAGAGAGTGGGACCAAAAATAGGGTAGATGTGAACGTGAAAAATCAAGGAGGTGGGATAAAGTGGTTTTTTTTCTCTGAACCATAGGGTTGAGAATTTCTGCCTCTACACCATATGCATGTCCCACAGATGTCTCCGATCTTTATGAGTATGGTTGGACTAGTTACGTTGTACACCAACCAAACACAAGAGTTTCTGCATACAACCACAAGCAAGCATGACAATTCTTCAAGATGCAAATATAAGACTTGAGATTTAAAAACTCATTCATTTAGATTTTTATACCAACCAAGCACTGATGAAGGATTCATGGTCACAACCTTTAGATTTTTATACCAAGAGTTGAGATTTAAAAACTCATTCATTTAATCTCCACCAATGGTCAAATCTAATGATGGATGACCACACATTCCTTGGTCACCAAACATTTCCTTAAAACATAATTGGACAATCAACAATCCTCCTAAACAAATCTGAATGAATGTTCCATGCACAACCACCTTATATAAATCTGTATTTCTTAAAAATGAGAAGAGTTAAACAAAGGGTTGGATGATTTTTTTTTTCACTCAAATTTAAGTTTGGAGAAGAATGTAGGAAGGATCAATGATTGCTTTCACCCAACCCTAACCCTTCCCTAAAACTTCCCCATCTTTGAGAATAAAAAAAAAACCAACCCTTCAATATTCCATTAAACTTCCCAAATTTTGAAAACTACTCAATCTCTCCGCCAAATTTAGGGGGTGTATTCAAGTGGAAATTTGAGAGATTTTAATGGATTTATAAATCTATGGATTTTTGTGTGAGTTTAACTAATTTGTAGAGATTCCATGTAAAATTTTGATTCAATTCCCTCGAAATCTCATAGGGAGAGATGAGATTTGTGGATGCTTAAAATACACTACAAAATCTCTCAAATTCCCTCTAATCCCTCAACTTTTCCAAATTCTTTAAATTCAAATTCTAATTGAATACACCTGAAATGTTATAAACTTCTTTAAAATTCTAATTGAATAAACCCGGATTTCTAAGTATTTTAATAAACTATCATAAAATCTTGATTAAATACACATTGAATTTCAAAGAATCACTTAAAATCCTGATTGAATACCTCTAGATTCATTAAAAGAATTAAATCCCTCAAAATCCTAATTGAATACACACCCTTAACTAAACAATTTGAAATTCAACCCCAAAATTTAACATTCTACTCAGATAAACCACAATGCAAAATATAAACAACTCAAACAAGTAAAACCACAATTTCATCAAACCAAAGCAATCATAAAAAGCAGTCAAATTTCATTTAATTATTAAGAAATGCAGCAAAGATAAACAGATAAGAACGCCAAAGGTTTCACATTAATTCTAAACAAACCGCTAAGTCTGACAAAATCCAAAAGGACACGAGAACCGCCATGCGAACAGCTACACGCACCTGCTGCTCTCACTTGGATCTCTGCCTCATCTTTCGGCGCTTCCTCTTCAACCTCCTCATCCTCTTCTTCTTCCACTGCAATAACACGACACAAATTATATCAGTTTCATAATTCAAGGATCGGAAACTAAGGCATTGTTTGGAAAAGCTTCTCTCTTATCAGAAGCACTTTTGGGAAAAGCTAAAAACTGAGGATGCAGAAATGTAACAGCTACGAGTTGTTACCTTGGCTCTCATGGCAGCTAAGCGAGACTGGAAAACCTTGCGCTATTTGTTGGAGGTCCTCCGATGAGAACCGGCGGACGAGAAATGGGAGACGTGCTGTGGGAGTGGGGTGGTTAGAGTTTATAAGCAAAACCCTAGCTGTGTTTTGGGACGTTGGATGTAATTGACGGACATGGGCTCGAGCTAGGTGACAATTATAGGGCATTATTGGGCCGCCATCTAAATCAGTAGTTCTTTGTTATTACTTGGGCTTTGGCCCGTAATTATTATTACCGATTACATTGGAGGAAATCCAAACGTTGCTAATGTATTGAATTCCTTTCTCCGTAATTTAGATGAATGTAGTTTAAATTAGGGATGGGCACGGTTCGATTCGGTGTGGTTCCACTTAAAGTTATTACTAAAATCGTATGGTTTGGTTCATGCCAGTTTACGGTTTTAACCAAAATTATATATATGTTTTTTCTACTTCTAATACCAAACACATATTTCAACTACAAATTCAAGTAAATTTGAGTTTCCACTACTAGATTTACAAGATTTGTGACCAGAAGATAGAAAGTGTGCATATAAATGTAAATCAAAAGATAGAAAGGCTCATATCAAGACTCTGAAATCCCGTTTCTAGATTTTATTGTTATAATCTACGTATCTGTATTATTAAGATTTTATATTATTTTTCGAGAATTTATATTGATTTATTTGAAATTAAATTTCAATTAAACTAGTTACGAAGAGTAAAGTTTGGAAAATTATTATTAACTTGACCTTTCGAGGTCACAAGTAACGTTTTCAAATAGGTCTCGAAGCCGCGAGCGCATAGGCGAAAGCCGTTTGCGAGTCTGGGTTATAACGGAATAGTTACAAACGTTTGAAGTTCTGAAACTTTAGGTTGTGAAAATTATTTAACTTCCACTAGAGGGTAAAAGGCCCAAATATATAATGGGGTTAAGGGAACCGGCTATCGGGGGAAAAAGAAGAAAGGAAAAGAGGGATTTTTTTTCCCTTCCATTTCGTCAACCCGTGCACCCACAAACCCGACTTCAACCTGGCCAAATTCCAGCCAATCTCCACCATTTTTTCAGGCCATTCTCACCCTCCTCCACCTGCAACTTATTCCACAACCTCTCATCTACCATATTTGCTCAAATTCAAGGGTTTTTTAGGCCAATTTCGAGAAGAACCATACCGGAGAACTCGGAGGTTCTCGACGGCGATTCGCTGTTCCGGTGAGTATCACCATGCACCATCATCCTTAATCAACTTCCCTTGTATCCAAGAACAAGACCCAATCAATTATAGGGGCGTTGGAACATCGAGGAAGTCGAATTGAAGAACACCCACCTTAGGGTTTCGGTGGTTCGTGGCCAGTTTGGGGTGTTTTCCGGCCAAATTGGCCTTGGCCGCAGGTATAAAGTTTACTCTACTTGTTGAGATCTTCATTCTTGTGAAATTTGAGAATTTTGGAAAAAGTCAAATTTTCCGATATGTAACATTTGATTTATGAAATGCTGTTTGTTGAGTATATTTTCGATAAGGTCCGTCACTTGAATATTCTAACAATTGACGATCTTACCATTGAATTGACACCAAATGTTAGTGTGCTATTGTAGATATTGTTTACAGACCTTAGGGAATTACTAGTGAAAATCTAGTGGGCATATTGTTAGCGACTTGAATATATGAAATATGATTATTATCTTAAATTCCTATATTAGTATTTGTGAATATGAATTGGTCTTATAATTATGATTTCTATTGAAATGTGAATTTTATATATTTAGCCATAAACCTATGCTAATTAACTATGATTTAGCTTATGTATTGTTGATGTTTGTGATATATATGTGTTTGATTATCTTTTTAATAATGTGAGCGATAATTATGATGAATGTTGTGACGATTATGGGAGCTAATTATTGTTTGATAATTATTTGGATATGCTTGCCAACTGGATACCTATTTGAACTTGGCACTATTACCTAGCATGAGATGGAGATGGAAGTTAGGAGATGAGTTAGGTACTTTATTGAATTTTAGTAGAAATAGTAATTAAGGGAATTCCTTGTGTTGTGCTCCATCTGACTTGATGCTGTTTGATATATGAAATCGATAGCATGTATGCGTATAATTATGTTTAATGTGTGATGATGAGATTGCACCACGTAGTTGTGGTATATGGATGGTTCTGCTTGGTATATCCGCGATGGGGGGGACCATATGTATTCAGGGGTGATCATACTTGGTATATCCGCGATGGATGATCACTGCCTGCACGATGAGTTTATGCCTATGGTCCTGGTTGGTATATCCGCGATTGGGTACCATACGCATTTTAGAGGTGATGATGATTAGTTGTACATGGTGCATTTTTGGGCGAGCATATTGGTTTGGTTCTGTTGAGTGGTCCGGAACCCGAGGTGTTGAATTTCATGGAGTGGCCTAAAATCCCATTGTTTGGAGAAGTAGACTTGGCCTAGCTGTGTCAATATAGCCTTAGTGTTATATATATATGTTTGCGTCAATGGTTTCGAGAGTCTTGTGAATTGAGTTAGAAAAGATGTTGGACGTCTAAGTGACTTCTTTGGGATTTTCTATGATTCGATTATGATTTCATAAAGTATGAATTTAGAAGATATGAGAATGATTGTTATTACTTTGATCAAATTAATTAATAATTGCGGCTAGAGAATGGTTTTGTGTTTTGTCGGCTCTTAAATATGATGTCTGTGTTGTGAATTGCGATATCATGATGAGACATAATGTGACATCCCACCTCGCCCAGGGGAGTGATCCTTAAATGTATATTCTCATCCCTACCTAGCATGAGGCCTTTTGGGAGCTCACTGGCTTCGGGTTCCGTAGGAACTTCTAAGTTAAGCGAGAAGGGGGCTAGAGCAATCCCATGATGGGTGATCCACTGGGAAGTTGCTCGAGAGTTCCCAAAAACAAAATCGTGAGGGTGTGCTGGGAGCCCAAAGCGGACAATATCGTGCTATGGTGGTGGAGCGGGCCCAGGAAGTGATCTGCCCCAGGCTGGGATGTAACACATAATGATTTATATGTTGGATGGAAGAGAAATCATGTTTTCATGGGGATTGGTTATGTAGCCCGAGTCGAAGAATTACATGTTGTCAGGTTATAATAAATGATTGAGGAATGCTATGCTTTTCTGCTTGAACTTAGTGGAATAAACATTTGATTTTGTGATAAGTGAACTATGAATGGCTTGATCCATATTTAGGGTACGTAGGCAGTCTAACAAGGAGGTTAGATGCAGCCATAAGGTAAACGAAAAATTTCTTTGCAATTTGATTCTCGAATTGCGATTTGCCATATTCCTAAGACGGGGTATGTAAGAAATACGAGTAATTGGGTGACGTCACGTGTCGATCCTGGACGTATGTCAGGATCGGGGCGTGACAAAGACCAAAGTGTAGATCTTAAACTAAAGCTAAAACTAAAATGTACATAGTGCATAATATACTGGAAAAGAATGGAGAAAAATAATGTAGGGAGAGAAAAGTGATAAAATAACAAAGGAGGGGGAGAGAAGTGAAGAAAAATATTGGGCTTATGCACATGGTATTCTTGGAAAAATATATTATTTATATAAAAATAATAATAAAACAATAATTTATATTAAAAGCGGTTCGGTTCGGTTTCTCTGGTTCTTAATATTTCCAAACCAGAATCAGAACCGTCTGAAATGGTTCGGTTATGTTTTTGTTCCAGTTTTGACTTTTTTGGTCTACGCAGTTTTTTACGGTTTTTTTTGTCATAGTTAGATTCGGTTTTCCGATTTGACGATTTTTATGCCCACCCCTAATTTAAATTATTTTAATATTTGTAAAAACAATAACTGTTTTTGAAATTTAAACTTAAAAATGATTCTACATTTTTCGACATTCGAAAAAAGAAAACTTCTTACTTTGGTCCCTAAGATGAAAAAAATACCTTTAATTTAATAAACAATGACCAAAATGATTTGACAAAAATGAGGGTATTATTGTCGTTTTATATTTATTTAATCAAGATTTTTCATGAAATGATCAAAATTGATGATGAACAAATTCAATGACTACTTTTATCAATTTCAAATTTTAGAGTTAGGAATTAAGAAGAGGAGTTAGGCTAATCTGACAGTGGGCCCCATCATCTAACTAGCAAAACACGTGTCAAGCACTAGAAGCGAGTATTCCTAAAAAACTGTGCAGCGAGCCATGGCAGTGGGCCCCATCGTCTAACTTGGAAGCTAATCCAATCCAAAGCCAGGCCGGTAACATATAAATTCAATCCAATCCAAAATTTTCCAATCCCACTCATTCTCCGTCCACTCCCATTCTATCCAGTCCCCAAAACTCGCACCACCAACCACGCTCAACGCCATTTCTGAGCGGAGAATGGGGACTGGTGCGTCCAAGAGGACGGATGATGGCTCCCACGGCGGCGAGGAGCCGGAGGAGGAGGAGCATTTGGACCAGGGAGGAGGACAGCTCTACGTGTCGTTGAAGATGGAGAACAATTACAAGCTCAAGAAAGGCGAGCTTCTTCCTCACGTCTTCGGCTCCGTCCCGCTCGTCGGCTCTTGGGATGCTTCCAAAGCTGTAATCTTTCTACAAAATTAATCCAATTAGTTCACTTTCTTTCGGTTGGTTAATCCCGTTTTTTGTTTTCTGATTGCTGATTGATTAAATTGGTTGTATGAATGATTACTAGCTTTCAATGGAGCGGGAATCGACTTCCATGTGGGAATTGAGCTTTGTTGTTCCTCCGAATCATGGTAATTTATCATTCCGCTTTCAATTTTCGAATTTCATTTCCACGAATTGTAATTATAAGCTTTGAATTACTGTACTAGTATTTGCTTAGTTCAATTCTGTTGCCACTGTGGAGTCGAAAGGTCTTGGTTTTCGATTTTTGATTGGATATGATTGTGTTTTTTGTGCCGGAACTAGAAACTTTGGACTTCAAGTTTCTTTTGAAGCCAAGGAACAACAACGCACCTGCACCTTGGGTTGTGGAGGAGGGTCCGAACCGCCAACTCATTGGAGGGGCCTTGCAAGGGGATCAAAGGCTGGCCATATTTAGGCTTAACAGTGATGAGGTTCTTGAGTACCGGGTGTTCATTAAGGCAGATAGGGTATCGCCATTTGATCTTGCAGCCAGTTGGAGAGCTTATCAGGAT